TGGGGAAGAGCCCCCGCGGCAGCGTGGTCAGGTTGTTGTCCGACAGGTCCAAGCGCTCCAGGGCCCTCATCCGAGCCAGGGAGCCGGCGGGGACGTGGTTGATGGCGTTGGCGGCCAGGGACAAGCGGCGCAGGCGGGCGCGGGGCAGGTTGGCCGGGGGGGCGGCCAAGGCGTTGCGCCCCAAGGAGAGCTCGCTGAGGTTGCCCAAGCGGCTGAAGGTGTCGTCGGCCATGCGCTGGTTCGCCAGGAGGTTCCCGTCCAGGACCAGGCGGCGCAGCGCGGGCAGCCCCTCGAAGGCGCGCAAGGGGATGGTGTGGATGCGGTTGTCGTCGAGGCGCAGCTCCTCGAGGGCCGGCGGCAGCCCCGGGGGGACGCTGCTCAGGTGGTTGCGGGACAGGAAGAGGAGCCGCAAGCGGCGGTTCTCGGCGAACGCGTCCTCCTCGATGCCGGCGGCGGACACGGAGTTGTCGTCCAGGTGCAGGCGCTCGAGGAGCGGGGCGCGGGCGAGCGCCCGACGGCAGAGCCCGCGGACGTTGTTCTCCTGCAGGTGAAGCTCCCGCAGCGCCGGGGGCAGGTGGGCCGGGAAGTGCTCCAAGGCGTTGGCGTACAGGTAAAGGACCTTGAGGGCCGAGAGCCGAGCGAGGCGGGCGGGGATCCCCGCGTCCCCGATGCGGTTGTTCTGCAGGAAGAGCGTGGTCGCCCCCGCGGGGACCCCCTCCGGGATCGCCGTCAGGCCCCGGTCGTTGCAGTAGACGCGGCCCCCGGCGCAGCGGCAAACGGAGGGGCAGGGGGCGGCGGAGGGGAGGAGGAGGAGGAGGAGGAGGAGGAGGAGGAAGGAGCGGGGGGAGAGGGGGGGAAAGGGGATGGGGAGGGAAAGGGGAGGGGGGGCCATGGGGGGAAAGAGGGGGCCTGGGGGGGGGGGGGGGGTTCGGTGTCACACGAGGAAACGGGGACCCCCTCAAAGCCCATATGTAGGGCAGGGACCCCCAACTGAAGCCCATACATAGGACAGGGACCACCCCCAAATCCCCTACGTAGGGCAGGGAGCCCCAACTGAAGCCTATAGATAGGGACACCCACACTGAAGCCCATACATAGGACAGGGACCCCCCCACTGAAGCCCATAGATAGGGACACCCCACACTGAACCCCATACATAGGACAGGGACCACCCCCAAAGCCCATACATAGGACAGGGACCCCCCCACTGAAGCCCATAGATAGGGACACCCCACACTGAACCCCATACATAGGACAGGGACCACCCCCAAATCCCATACATAGGGCAGGGACCCCTCCACTGAACCCCATTGGTAGGGACACCCCACACTGAAGCCCATACATAGGACAGGGACCCCCCCTTTGAACCCCATAGATAGGGACACCCACACTGAAGCCCATACATAGGACAGGGACCACCCCCAAATCCCATACATAGGGCAGGGACCCCCCCTCTGAACCACATAGATAGGGACCCCCACACTGAAGCCCATACATAGGACAGGGTCCACCCCCAAATCCCATACATAGGGCAGGGACCCCCCCACTGAACCCCATAGATAGGGACACCCACACTGAAGCCCATACATAGGACAGGGACACCCACACTGAAGCCCATACATAGGACAGGGACCCCTTACTGAGCCCCATAGATAAGGCAGGGACCCCCCTCCAAATCCCATATGTAGGGCATGGACCCCCCACCAGTGAACCCCATAGATGTGAACACCCCACATTGAACACCATATATAGGACAGGGACCCCTTACTGAGCCCCATAGATAGGGCAGGGATCCCCCCTAAATCCCATATATAGGGCAGGGACCCCCCCTCTGAACCCCATAGATAGGGACACCCCACACTGAACCCCATGCATAGGGCAGGGACCCCTTACTGAGCCCCATAGATAGGGACAGCCCACACTGAAGCCCATACATAGGGCAGGGACGCCTTACTGAGCCCCATAGATAAGGCAGGGACACCCCCCTCCCCCCATATCCCATACATAGGACAGGGACCACCCCCAAATCCCATACATAGGGCAGGGACCCCTTACTGAGCCCCATAGATAGGGTAGGGATCCCCCCTAAATCCCATATATAGGGCAGGGACCCCCACACTGAACCCCATAGATAGGGACACCCCACACTGAACTCCATATGTAGGACAGGGACCCCCCCCCAACCCCTTAGGTAGGGACATCCCATACTGAACCCCATAGATGGGGCAGGGATCCCCCCCAGTCCCCTATAAGGGACCTGTATGCATCCCCCCAAAACCCCACATATAGAGAAGGGACCCCCCTATTGTGCCCCATATGTAGCTCAGGGACCCCTCTATAAGGGACCTACGTGCTGCCCCTCCATTGACCCCCATGTATAGGGCAGGGACACCACACTGACCCCCATACATAGCACAGGGACACCCACATAGGGGACCTGTGTGCTGCCCCCCCCAACCCTGTATCTAGGGTGAGACCCCCATGTATATGGCAGCCCCCCCCCAATAAACCCCATAGGGCAGGACCTCCCCAAGCCCCCCTATAGGAGATCAATGTTCTGTCCCCCCCCCGCTATCCCCCATATATAGGGCAGGACCCCCTCCCCATAGGCAGCGGGGGGGCCCTACCTGTGCGCAATGGGTCCGGGTCCTCGTACGAGGCCGCTGCTACCGGCTCCGGTGCTCCATGGCCCCCCCGCCTTGGGGGGGCCGCTTTGGGGGGGGGGTGGTGATGAAAAGGGGTCATGAGCTTTGGGGGGGGGGGGGGGGCAGTCCCCGTGTGTGTTGGGGCCCCCCCGGGTGCTCATTACCCACCCGCGTTAATGAAGCAGCCCAATTAACACCAGCTCATTAGGGGGAGGGCCCTCCCCACCATGGCCCCCCCCCGGGACCCCCCGTGCCCCCAGGGTCACCATTGCATCAGCCAAGGGCCTGGTGCTGTTCCCAGCCCCCCAACTGGAACACCCATGGGTGCTGGGGGGGGAGTGGGGGGTGCTGGGGGGGGGTCATTGGGGTTGGGGGGGGGGGGGAACAGCACCCCTGGGACCCCCGGAGCGCCCCCCATTGGCTGTGCCCCTCCCCCTGGCTGAGCATCCCTGGGGATGGGGGGGGGGGGTTGAGGGGGTTTGGGGGTTCGGGGGGAGGGGTTAAAGGGGCTCGGGGGGGGGGGGGGCCGGGCAGGGGGGTTCAGCGTCCCGCGCGCCTCGGCCCATCCCCCCCCCCCCCCCCGGGCCTCCTGAGCCCCTCCCCCCCCATTGAAGCATCCCCAGCGTTGGAGGGGGAGGGGAGGAAGCAGCGGTTCTGGGGGGCTCCGGGGGGGCCTAGGGGGGGTTGGGGGGGTCCCGGGGGGGGGGGGGGAGGATGGGGGGGGATTCTCTCCGGTGGTGCCGGAGGCAGGGGGATGGGCTCCGCTGCTGCCGCTCCGGCCCCTCCCCCCGCGCTGGAGCATCAATGGGTACCACGGGGGGGGGGGGGGGGGGGGTGGGGGGGCCGGGGGGGGCCCGGGGGGGGGGGTTGGGGGTCCCGGCCGTGGGGGGGGTGGGGGGGAGGGCGCTCACCGGGGTCGGTGCCGGTCGCTGCGATGGGGCCGGTGCTGGCGGCGGCGGCTGCGGGCGTGGGAAGGCGGCGGAGGGGGGGGGGGGGATGCGCCGCCTCCCGGTGCGCGGGGACACGGCGGGGGGGGGGGGCGGGGGGGGGCTTGCACGAGGGCGTGAGGGGGGGGGGAGGAACCGCCCCACTTGTGGCCCCCAATGGGGCTTGCACAGGGGCCCTGGTACGAGGGGTCTGGTTCTGCCCCCCCCCCCCCCGTGTTTGATCCCATGGGGGGGGACACGAGGGGAAGGGGGGGGGGGGCAGGATGTGTCACACGCACTAAGACCCCCCCCCCCCCCAGACCCCAAACTGCCCCTTTCTGGACACTCAAGGGACCCCCCTGCATGGACCCCCCCCAAATGTGCCCTCTAAAGGGGACCAATGACCCCCCCCCGAATGCATGGACCCCCCAAAGGTGCCCCCCCCACTGCATGGACCCCTCAAATATGCCCCCTAAAGGGGTCCAATGTTCCCCCCCCCACTGCATGGACCCCCAAATGTGCCCCCTAAAGGGGTCCAATGAGCACTCCCTCACTGCACGGACCCCCCAGATGTGACCCCCCCGGCATAGATCCCCCAATGTGCCCCCTAAAGAAGTCCAATAAGCCACCCCCCACTGCATGGACCCCCCAAATGTGCCCCCCCCCCCACTGCATGGACCCCCCAAATGTACCCCCTAAAAGGGTCCAGTAAGCCCCCCGTCACTGCATGGATCCCCCAGATGTGCCTCCAACTGCATGGACCCCCAAAATGTGCCCCCTAAAGGAGCCCAATGGGCCCCCCCCCCCGCATGGACCCCCCCAGATATACCCCCTAAAGGGGTCCAATGTCCCCCCCCACTGCATGGACCCCCCAAATGTGCCCCCTAAAGGGGTCCAATGAGCCCCCTCACTGCAGGGACCCCCAATGTGCCCCCTCGATGGGTCCAATGAGTCCCCCGCACTGCATGGACCCCCCAAATATACCCCCTAAAGGGGTCCAATGTCCCCCCCCACTGCACGGACCCCCCAAATGTGCCCCCTAAAGGGGTCCAATGAGCCCCCCCTCAGGGACCACCAAATGTGTCCCCTCAATGGGTTCAATGTCCCCCCACTGCACGGACCCCCAAAATGTGCCCCCTAAAGGGGTCCAATGAGCCCCCCCCTCACTGCAGGGACCCCTAAATGTGCTCCCTAAAGGGGTCCAATGTCCCCCCCCACTGCATGGACCCCCCAAATGTGCCCCCTCAATGGGTCCAATGAGCCCCCACCACTGCATAGATCCTCCAATGTGCCCCCTCCCACCCCATGGCCCCCCATGGCTACCTCCCAGCCCCCTTGCCTGGACACCTAATGCAACCCCCAAGTGGTCATCGTCGTCCCCCCCCCAAATCAACATCCAGAGCGAGTGGGGCCACGTCTTTATTGGAGGGAGGAGGGGGGAGCCAGGGGAGGGGAGGGGGGGGGGGGAGGCAGTTGTGGACCCCCCCCCCCCAGTGCTCGTGCGAGGCTGGCTCGAGCCGGGCGCTCACTTGTAGAGGATGTCGTAGTGGCCGGGGCGGTAGAGGAGGCAGACGCGGGGCTGGGAGCCCTCGGGGAAGACGTGGGGGTTCGTGGCCCCCCCTTCCCCCCGGTCCATGTATTCCACCAGGATGGAGACGTGCAGGGCCCGCGCCAGGGCGATGATGTGGATGTGGTCGCTCTCCTTGCACATGGGTTCCACCTCCTGTGGGGTGGAGGGGGGGAGAGAGAGGGGAAGGGGGTGGGTGAGGGGCACTGGTGTGGGTTGGGGGGGTGGTGAGGCTCATGGGAGGTGCATTCAAGACCCACTGAAGGCTCATTCAAGACCCACTGAAGGCTCATTCAAGACTCATTCAAGACCTGTTCAAGACTGATTCAACACCAATTCAAACCCATTCAAGACTCATTCAAGACCCATTCAAGGCCCATTGAAGGCTCATTCAAGACCATTCAATATCCATTCAAGACCCATTCAATATCCATTCAAGACCCAATCAAGATCCATTCAAGACCCATCCAACTCCCATTCAAGGCCCATTGAAGGCTCATTCAAGACCATTCAATATCCATTCAAGACCCAGTCAAGATCCATTCAAGATCCATTCAAGACCCATCCAAGGCCCATTCAAGGCCCATTGAAAACCCATTCAAGACTCAATCAAGACCCATTCAAGGCCCATTCAAGACCCATTCAAAGCCCACTCAAGACCCATTCAACGCCAATTCAGACCCATTCAAGACCCATTCAGGGCCCATTCAAGACCCATACAAGACCCATTGAAGGCCAATTCAGGACTCCTTCAAGACCCATTCAAGGCCCATTCAATGCCAATTCAAGATCCATTCAAGACCCATTGAAGACTCACTCAAGAGCCATTCAAGACCCATTCAAGGCCCATTCAAGACCCATTGAAGGCCAATTCAAGACCCATTGAAGGCCAATTCAGGACTCCTTCAAGACCCATTCAAGGCCCATTCAATGCCAATTCAAGATCCATTCAAGGCCCATTGAAGGCCCATTCAAGGCCCATTTAAGAAGGCCCATTCAAGGCCCATTTAAGATCCATTCAAGGCCCATTCAAGATCCATTCAAGACCTATTCAAGGCCCATTTAAGATCCATTCAAGGCCCATTCAAGACCTATTCAAGGCCCATTTAAGATCCATTCAAGGCCCATTCAAGATCCATTCAAGGCCCATTTAAGATCCATTCAAGGCCCATTCAAGATCCATTCAAGACCCATTCAAGATCCATTCAAGACCCATTCAAGATCCATTCAAGACCCATTCAAGGCCCATTCACGGCTCATTCAAGGTCCATTCAATGCCAATTCAAGACCCATAAAAAACCCATTCAAGACCCATTCAGGACTCATTCAAGGCCCATTCAAGACCCATTCAAGGCCCATTGAAAACCCATTCAAGACTCAATCAAGACCCATTCAAGACCCATTCAAAGCCCACTCAAGACCCATTCAGGGCCCATTCAAGACTCATTCAGGGCCCATTCAAGGCCCATTCAAAGCCCATTCAAGGCCCATTCAAGACCCATTCAAGACCCATTCAAGGCCCATTCAAGACCCATTCAAGGCCCTGGCCCTCACCTGCTGGCAGAACTCCTTGATGCTGCGCCCGCCCTCGAGGAACTGCTCGAAGAAGCGGCGGTGGCGCTGGAGGCAGCCGGAGGTGAGGAGCCGCAGGTAAACCACGAGGTAATCCGAGGTGCTGGGCTCGTTGAAGGCCGCCAGCAGCTCCGGCAGCGGCACCCGGCGCTCCACGCGCTCGATCAGCTCCATGAACTGCGACACGTGGGGACACACACGGGTTAGCGGGGGTAACACATGGGCACGCAGGTGTGAACATGGGTAACACATGGTACACACACGTGTTAGCATGGGTAACATGGTACACACATGTTAACATGGGTAACACATGGGCACACATGTGTTAACATGGGTAACACATGGTACACACACGTGTTAGCATGGGTAACACATGGTACACACACGTGTTAACATGGGTAACACATGGGCGCACACACGTGTGAACATGGGTAACACACGGGTTAACATGGGTAACACACGGGTACACACGTGTGAACTTGGGTAACACATGGGTACACACGTGTGAACTTGGGTAACACACGGGTACACACACTTTAACATGGGTAACACACGGGTACACACACGTGTGAACATGGGTAACACGTGTTAACATGGGTAACACACAGGTACGCACACATTAACATGGGTAACACATGAGTACACACACGTGAACATGGGTAGCACACGGGTATACACGTGTGTTATCATGGGCAACACACGGGTAACAGGCTCATACACTTTATCATGGGGAACACACGGGTAATGGGGCACACACGTGTTATCACAGGCAACACACAGGTAACGGGGCACACGCATGTTAACATGGGCAACACACAGGTGATAGGGGCACACGCATGTTAACATGGGCAACACACAGGTAACGGGGCACACACGTCTTATCATGGCCTCACACAGGTAATGGGGGCACACGCATGTTATCATAGGCAACGCAGGGGTAATGGGGGCACACACGTGTTATCATAGGCAACACAGGTAATAGGGGCACACACATGTTATCATGGGCAACACACAGGTAACGGGGGCACACACACGTTATCACAGGCAACACATGGGTAATGGGGTCACATGTGTAACAGGTGCACACATGTGTTAACATAAGCAACACACAGGTAATGGGCACACACACGTGTTAACATGGGCAACACACGGGTAACAGGTGTGCACACACGTGTTAGCATGGGCAACACACAGGTAATGGGCACACACACGTTACGAAGGGCAACACACAGGTAACGGGGGCACACACACGTGTTAACAAGGCAACACATGGGTAACGGGGGCACACACGTGTTAACAAGGGCAACACATGGGTAACGGGGGCATACATGCGTTAACATGAGCAACACACAGGTAACGGGCACACACACATGTTAACATGGGCAACACATGGGTAATGGGGGTACACACACGTGTTATCATGGGCAACACATGGGTAACGGGGGCACACGTGTTATCATCGGCAACACACGGGTAACAGGGGCACACATGGGTAATGGGCACACGTGTTAACATAGGCAACACAGATAATGAGGGCACACACACGTGTTAACACGGGCAACACACGGGTATCGGGGGCACACATGCATTAACACGGGCAACACACGGGTATCGGGGGCACACATGCGTTAACATGGGCAACACATGGGTAACAGGGGCACACACGTGTTAACATGGGCAACACATGGGTAACAGGGGCACACACGTGTTAACGTCAGCAACATATGGGGAACGTGGTGCATACATGTGTGCTAACATGGGCAACACATGGGCCATTGGCGCACACAGGTGTCACTGTCACACAGATGTGTAATGCGTCACACATACATGTTAACATGGGCACACATGGGTCATTGCTACACGTGTGTTAACATGGACAGCACACACGTCACTGTCATACACACTGTGAAACACGTGTCACCGTTACACACGTGTCATTATCACACACATATCACTGTCACGCACACGCATCACTGCCACACATGTCACTGTCACAGACATGTCACTGACACACACCACTGTCATGCACACGTCTCTGTCACATGTGTCACCGTCACACACATACGTGTGTCACCAACACACTGTCACTCTCACACACGTCACCGTCACAGAAGTGTCACTGTCAAACACACATCAGTCACACACACACATCACTGTCACACACACATATCACTGTCACACACACACACGTCACTGTCACACATGTCACTGTCACACACACGCCAGTCACACACACACGTCACTGTCACACACACGTGTCCCTGTCACACACACACAAGTCACTGTCACACACATGTTCCCATCAAACACACGTCACTGTCACACACATGTTCCAATCACACACACGTCACTGTCACACACATGTTCCCATCACACACGCACGTCACTGTCACACATGTGGTCACTGTCACAAACACGTCACTGTCACACACACGTGTCACTGTCACACACGCGGTCACTGTCACACACACGTGTCACTGTCACACACACGGTCACTGTCACACACACACATCACTGTCACACACGTGTCACTGTCACACACACATGTGGTCAGTGTCACACACACACGTGTCACTGTCACACACACGTGTCACTGTCACACACACGTGTCACTGTCACACACACATGGTCACTGTCACACACACACACATCACTGTCACACGTGGTCAGTGTCACACACACACGTCACTGTCACACACACGTGTCACTGTGACACACACGTTCCCGTCACACACACGTTCCCATCACACACACACGTCACTGTCACACACATATTCCCCTGTCACACCCACGTCACTGTCACACACACAAGTGTCACTGTCACACACACGTGGTCACTGTCACACACACGTGTTCACTGTCACACACGTGGTCACTGTCACACACACACATCACTGTCACACGTCACTGTCACACACACACGTGTCACTGTCACACACGTGGTTACTGTCACACACACACGTGTCACTGTCACTGTCACACACACACGTGTCACTGTCACTGTGACACACACGTGTGTCCCCCCTGTCCCACCGTGTTGTGGAAGTCCTCGATGGTGAACTCGGTGAAGCCCTGAGCCACCAGCTCCTCCTTGCTGCGTGCTGACACCTCCTTAAACCTGGGGGGGCAACGGGGGGGTCATGGGGGGGCACCAGGACCCAGAGACAGGGGGGTGGGGGGGACCCACAGGCATGAAAGGGGGGTGACAAAGGGCACCCAGAGGACTTGGGAAGGGGACCCCAGGATACCCAATGATGGCAGTGGGGGGGGGTCACCCAATGTATATGGTATGGGGAGGACCAAGGTACAGGGGGGGCACCACAGGCACCCAGAGACTTGGGAAGGGAACACCCAGGAGCCCATGGAGTACCCCAAGAATGGGGGGGCACCCCCAAGTACAGGACCCTGGCTCTGGGAGGACCAAAAACACCCAAAGGATTTGGGAAGGGGCACCCAGGGGGTCGGGGGGGGGTCTTTTCATGGGGGTCCCTGCTATGGGGGTTCCCTGCTATGGGAGGGTCACTGCTAGGGGGGGATCCCTGCTATGGGGGGGGTCCCTGCTATGCGGGGGTCACTACTAGGGGAGGGTCCCTGCTATGGGGGGTCCCTGCTATGGGGGAGTCCCTGCTTTGGGGGGGGGTCCCTGCTATGGGGGTTCCCTGCTTTGGGAGATTCCTGTTATGTGTTGGTCCCTGCTATGGGGGGGTCCCTGCTTTGGGGGGCATCCCTGCTTTGGGAGATTCCTATTATGTGTTGGTCCCTGCTATGGGGGGGTCCCTGCTTTGGGGGGCGTCCCTGCTTTGGGGGGGTCCTTGCTTTGGGGGCGGTCCCTGCTTTGGGGGGGGTCCCTGCTATGGGGGGGGTCCCTGCTTTGGGGGGTTCCCTGCTTTGGGGGGGGTCCCTGCTTTGGGGGGGGTCCCTGCTTTGGGGGGTTCCCTGCTTTGGGGGGGGGTCCCTGCTTTGGGGGGGTCCCTGCTTTGGGGGGGTCCCTGCTTTGGGGGGCGTCCCTGCTTTGGGGGTTCCTTGCTTTGGGGGCGGTCCCTGCTTTGGGGGAGGTCCCTGCTGTGGGGGGGTCCCTGCTGTGGGGGGGTCCCTGCTTTGGGGGGGGGGTCCCTGCTTTGGGGGGGGGGTCCCTGCTTTGGGGGGGTCCCTGCTTTGAGGGGGGGTCCCTGCTTTGGGGGGGGGGGGTCCCTGCTTTGGGGGGGTCCCGCACCGCTGCAGCTCCTGCCCGTCCTCCAGCAGCGCCTCCAGGTGAGCGAAGCCAAAGGCCCGATAGAAGCAATTCCCGTCCGGCCGCGTCTTCCGGATGTAGGAATACTTCTGGAGCAGGTCCTGGAAGGGGGTGGGGGGTGAAGAGGAGAGGGGCAGCAGGAACCCCGCCCCCCAGCCCCATAGTGGAGCCCTTTGGTGCCCGTCAGCCCCACGGCGGGGCCCCACCTTGATCTTCTGCTGGTAGATGTGGTCGTCCTCGGCGTACTCCTTGTAGAGCACGGCCAGCTCCAGGCGCTCCGACACCAGCGGGTTCTGCACCGCGATCTGCACCAGGAACGGGGGGGGGGGCAGCCCCAAAGTGGGGTTTGGGGTCCCCTCAAGCACTTGGGGGGGGGGTCAAAGGGGGGTGGGTGGTTGGGGGTCTCACCTCCTGCTGGATCCGGTCCTGCTGGGCCATGATGGCCTCATCGTAGGCCAGGCAGTTCACACCTATGGGGGGGGGAGGGGGTTCAAGAGGGGACCCCCATGGATTTGGGGCCTTCGCCCCACCCTCCCCTGTGGGAACCCCCAAATTGGGTCTGGGGAAGGGGAGGGATTGGGGGGCTAAAAGGACCCTATGGGGCATGGGGGGGGCATGAAAGGGGATCTATAGGGGGCACTGGGGTCCTGGGACGGCCTATGTGGGTACAGGAGGAGACTGGAGCACTATGGGGGTGCTATGGGGAGCTATGGGGGCCTTATGTGGGGGCTATGGGGGGCTATAGAGGTGCTATGGGGGGCTATGGGGGCCTTAAGTGGGGGCTATGGCGCGCTACAGAGGTGCTATGGGGGCCTTAAGTGGGGGCTATGGGGCGCTATAGAGGTGCTATGGGGGGCTATGGGGGCCTTATGTGGGGGCTATGGGGCGCTATAGAGGTGCCATGGGGGGCTATGGGGGCCTTAAGTGGGAGCTATGGGGCGCTATAGAGGTGCTATGGGGGGCTATGGGGCGCTACAGAGGTGCTATGGGGGGCTATGGGGGCCTTATGTGGGGGCTATGGGGCGCTATAGACGTGCTACGAGGGCTTTATGTGGGGGCTATGGGGCGCTACAGAGGTGCTATGGGGGCCTTATGTGGGGGCTAAGAGGCGCTACAGAGGTGCTATGGGGGGCTATGGGGCGCTATAGAGGGTTATGGGCGACTGTGGGGCTGTGTCGGGGCGCTATAGGGTGCCACAGGAGGGCTATGGGGGGCTATGGGGCGCTATGGGGCCGGGTCCCGCCGGTACCGTCCGCGTCGCCGCCGAGCGGCTCCGGCTGCTGCTGAGGCTCCTCCGCCGCCATCATCCGCCGCAGCCCCGCCCCGCGCAGCGCTTCCGGGTCACCGGCGGCCGCCAGCACCGCTTCCGGAGCAACAGCCGCCCCGCCGGAAGCTCTCGGGGCCGCTCAGCCACTAACCCCGCCCACAGGCGCCGGAAGAACCAATCAGCAGCCAGAGTGGGAGGGAGGACACGCCCCCTAGAGACAGTCCCCGCCCCTAGCTGCCGCACGGCAGCGAGTCTGCCGCGCCCCTAGCAACAAGCCACGCCCCTAGAGACGCGGGGCGTGTCCAGCGGAGCCGCGTTAGGGGCGGGGCTATGCTAATTAGACATCACCTGCCTCGTGGGGGCTGCCGGGAGCTCCGCAGCCGGCGGGTTCCCGGGGCTCAGCGGGGTTCGGTGCCCGCGGGATGAGGACAGCAACGGGGGACGGTGCGGGGAGAGCAGCGGGCAAGGAGCCCTAGGGCGGAGCGGGGTGGCCGTGGTGTGGGTGAGTGCGGGCCCGCTTGCAGGCGGGGGCAGGGGGAGGTTCCGGTATCGCTTCTCGGCCTTTTGGCTAAGATCAAGTGTAGTATCTGTTCTTATCAGTTTAATATCTGATACGTCCTCGATGAGAGGACTTTATATTAAACGGATTTTTGGTTGTGGGAGTCGGAGTCGGGGCTTGCTCCATCCGCTCCGCGCATCGTCCCGGTATTGCAGCGCCTCCGGGTTCGGTGCACCCCTGCGGGGACCTTGTGGTGGTCAAAGACAGAGCGAAACCGTGGGGCAATGGGGGGTTCGGGGCGCTCTCCGTGTGCTGTGGGTGCTGCTGCGTTCGGGGTTAACCCGTACCCGCTCTGTGGGGATTCGTGTCCCTTCCGCCGTGTCCGGAGCGGCTCCCACAGGAGCCAGGCTGAGCGCATCGGGGCTGCTCCGGTTGGTACCGGGAAATAAAGGGTTAACGTTGTGCCTGTTTGCTTGAGCGCTGTGCTTGGGGAAGCAGAACTGGAGGAGTCAAAGTCGCTCCAATGGGGAAGCAGAACGGGAGGAGTTAGGGCTGCAGATCAGATCAGATTCATAGCTTAACATTGAAGACGTTCTTGTTCCAACAGCATCCAGAGGAAGAAAAGGAACAAAAGACCCCAGAGGAACAACATTTACAAACCTCACAAGTTCCTGCTTTAAGATACACAAAACCGGCTCGTACCGAACCTGAGGTTTGGTCAGGAGCCGAAACCCCATTGAGCCCCCGTGAAAGCAAGAGGTTACTCGCGGTGATGAAGAGGAGCTGCAGGCCTTCATCCTCACGACCACCACCAGGAGGCACTGCGCAGGCGCACCAATGGGACGAACGCCGGAAAACTAATTATAATATTAGACGGAGATAGGTTTTGCATATGTATGAGGCGTGAAGCAATCCCATGTTTAGGCCATCATTATATGGGGTATAAACAAACGGGGTGGCAAAGGGGGGCGCGCGTGCTTTTGGAGGAGCACCCCCCGTGCGCCTCAGCGCTGAATAAAGGATTCCCGCTTTACAATGAACGGGTTGTGGGGTCAATCCGCGCGTCAAGCCTGGAGAAGGGAAGCTGCGAGGAGAGCTCAGAGCAGCTTCCAGGCTGTGAAGGGGGCTGCAAGGATGCTGGGGAGGGACCTGCAGCAGGGACTGGAGCGATGGGACAAGGGGTGATGGGGTCAGACTGGAACAGGGCACATTTAGGCTGGATTTAAGGAAGCTCTTCCCCGTGAGGGTGCTGAGGCGCTGGCACAGGGTGCCCAGAGAAGCTGTGGCTGCCCCATCGCTGGCAGTGTTCAAGGACACAGGGGCTTGGAGCAAGCTGCTCCAGTGGAAGGGGTCCCTGCCCGTGGAGGGGGCTGTGATTGGAAGAGCTTTAAGGTCCAAGACTTCATAACGCTTGGCTCTGTCTTTAACCAAGATAAGAATCCCTCCTCCATAGACTCGGCTGTGCTGAGCTCCATCGTGCTCTTCCCCATCCCTAAGGGCAGCTGGAGCCGCTCTGGAGGCTTCAGTGGAGCCCTCTCACCTCCTCATTAGCCTCAATTGCTCTTTCACAGCACCCCCGTGTCGTGGGGGAAGAGCTTGCGTGCACTTGTGGGCTTGGGAGCTATCCTGGCGGTGGCACACGCCGCCGGTAGGGTCTCCCATGCCCGACAGCTCTCAACTGAAGGGGCAGCCAAAGCGTGTCCATGGGCAGGATGGGCTCGCCAGCCTTCAGGCAGCCATCCTAGAAGGACAGCTCTAACTTCAAACCCAGGCAGATGCAGCTCGTTGGGCCCTGTTAAAGCCATCCATCTAAGAGAAGGACACTCGACCCAAACCCGCGACCGGAGGGCGTTGCTGTCACCGTCCAAGCTCGCTCGGCCCTGGCAGACAAACCTCAGGTGTAAAGGATGGGGTCGGTTCCGTGCCCGCTGCCCTCACCTAAAACCCCCGAGGGCACCCCACGTTTAGCCACGCTTGCGAAGCCCTGCAGGGACAGGCGAGGGCCCAAACGGCAGGCGATCGGGGGCACTGGGAGTCGCGGTCCCAGCCCCACACCGCGCGGGCGGCTCCGGCCTCGGGTGGCTCCGTTAATGCCGGTGCCTGCTTTGAGAGCTCACGCAGCACTAGTGCGAGGAGAAAAGGGGAAGGAGAAAGAATCGCGCCCGCCTGTACCACCCCAGGGCACCTTGCGCTGTGCTCTTTGCACCCGGATTTGCCTGTCCCACTTCGGCCTTTTCCGTCATCAGCGTGCTTGTAGGAAGCGGGGGTAAAGCCCTTCCCAAAGCTTCGGTCCCGAAGTCAAGCCAGGAGCCCCGATCTCCGCATTAACTCCAACTTCCCCCCTCCTCTGGGATCCGTGGGCACTTTCACCCCTGCCTCCTCATCCCCATCATCCCCATAGATTCCTCCCCAAGGACTGATCTGGGGCATTCTGAAGCCATTTGGGGTGCGGGGTTGGGGCCAGCAGAGCTGCGGATTGGGGAGCGGTGTCGGGAAAGGGCTCAGAGCACTTTTGGGGTATAAAGGGGCAATTTCGGGGTCTGAGGTGGGAGCTCCCCCATTGCCCCCGCTCCCAGCCGCGTCCTTCATCCCCGTGCACGGCCTGGGGCACGGGGTGGGCATGACCGATCCGAGGGGCGGGGCCATGCAAATCAGCGCTGTGAGGGACGTATGAGGTATGATGCAAATGAGGCTCCCCAGTGCCGCTCAGGGGGCGGGGCTATGCTAATGAGACATCACCTGGCTCGTGGGGGCTGCCGGGAGCTCCGCAGCGGGCGGGTTCCCGGGGCTCAGCGGGGTTCGGTGCCCGCGGGATGAGGACAGCAACGGGGAACGGTGCGGGGAGAGCAGCGGGCAAGGAGCCCTAGGGCGGAGCGGGGTGGCCGTGGTGTGGGTGAGTGCGGGTCCGCTTGCAGGCGGGGGCATGGGGGAGGTTTCGGTATCGCTTCTCGGCCTTTTGGCTAAGATCAAGTGTAGTATCTGTTCTTATCAGTTTAATATCTGATACGTCCTCGATGAGAGGACTTTATATTAAACGGATTTTTGGGCGTGGGAGTCGGAGGCGGGGCTTGCTCCATCCGCTCCGCGCATCGTCCCGGTATTGCAGCGCCTCCGGGCTCGGTGCACCCCTGCGGGGACCTTCTGGTGGTCAAAAACAGAGCGAAGGAACCGGGAACCTTTAACGGGTGCAGGGATGCGCTCCTGATTTCGCCCTTGCGCTGTGGCTGCGGCTGCTTCCTCGGGCATAACTCTCTCAGCGTCTGAAGGAGGCTGCAAGGATGCTGGGAGGGACCTTCAGCAGGGACTGGAGCGATGGGACAGGGGGTGATGGGGTCAGACTGGAACAGGGGGAGTTCGGGTTGGATCTAAGGCAGAAGCTCTTCCCTGCGGGGGTGTTGAAGCGCTGGCACAGGGTGCCCAGGGAAGCTGTGGCTGCCCCATTGTTCAAGGGCAGGTTGAACAGTCTTGGGTGACATGGTTTAGTGTGAGGTGCCCTTGCCTATGGCAGGGGGTGGAACTGGATGAGCTTCAGGTCCTTTCCAACCCCAACTATGCCCCGATTCCATCGGATTCTGTCTTTTGTGCTGGTCAAAGACAGAACGAAGACCCCGGGTAACCTCCAGCACGAGCGGTGACCGGTCCCTCAGCCCAATCCTGAGATGCGGTGCTGCTGGTCCTCGTTTGGGCTGACTTGACATCCCCTCTGTGGGTACACCCGATTGAATCCGGGCATGGTTAGGGTTGGAAAGGACCAGAAGCTCATCCAGTTCCAACCCCTGCCATAGGCAGGGACACCACACAGTAAACCCGGTCACCCAAAAATATGCCCAACCTGGCCTTGAACACTGCCAGCGATGGGGCAGCCACAGCTTCTCCGGGCACCCTGTGCCAGGGCCTCAGCACCCTCACAGGGAAGAGCTTCCTTAAATCCAGTCTAAATGTGCCCTGTTCCAGTCTGACCCCATCACCCCTTTGTCCTATCAAGTCCCTGCTGCAGGTCCCTCCCCAGCATCCTTGCAGCCCCCTTCACACCCTGGAAGCTGCTCTGAGCTCTCCTCGCAGCTTCTCTTCTCCAGCACCAATGGTCTCAGCCTGGCTCCTGTGGGAGCTGCCCCAGTGCCTGCTCCGGAAACAGCGGACGGTATCGTAGCCATGGGACCCTACCCCTACCGAAAGTCTTTGCTCTGTCTTTGACCACCACAAGGTCCCCGCAGGGGTGCACCGAACACCGGAGGCGCTGCAATACCGGGACGATGCGCGGAGCGGATGGAGCAAGCCCCGCCTCCGACTCCCACAACCAAAAATGCGTTTAATATAAAGTCCTCTCATCGAGGACGTATCAGATATTAAACTGATAAGAACAGATACTACACTTGATCTTAGCCAAAAGGCCGAGAAGCGATACCGGAACCTCCCCCTGCCCCCGCCTGCAAGCGGGCCCGCACTCACCCACACCACGGTCACCCCGCTCCGCCCTAGGGCTCCTTGCCCGCTGCTCTCCCCGCACCGTCCCCCGTTGCTGTCCTCATCCCGCGGGCACCGAACCCCGCTGAGCCCCGGGAACCCGCCCGCTGCGGAGCTCCCGGCAGCCCCCACGAGGCAGGTGATGTCTCATTAGCATAGCCCCGCCCCCTGAGCGGCACTGGGGAGCCTCATTTGCATCACACCTCATACGTCCCTCACAGCGCTGATTTGCATGGCCCCGCCCCTCGGATCGGTCACGCCCACCCCGTGCCCCAGGCCGTGCACGGGGATGAAGGACGCGGCTGGGAGCGGGGGCAATGGGGGAGCTCCCACCTCAGACCCCAGGATTAGCCCTTTACACACCCCAAAAGTGCTCTGAGCCCTTTCCCAACACCGCTCCCCTCCCCGCAGCTCTGCTGGCCCCAACCCCGCACCCCAAATGGCTTCAGAATGCCCCAGATCTGTCCTTGGGGAGGAACTGGTCCTGCAGGATGGGCAGGAGGATGAGGAGGCAAGGGTGAAAGTGCCCACGGATCCCAGAGGAGGGGGGGGAGTTGGAGTTAATGAGGAGATTGGGGCTAATGAGGAGGTGAGAGGGCTCCACTGAAGCCACCACAGCGGCTCCAGCTGCCCTTAGGGATGAGCAACGTGCTGGGGAGGAGGAAGAGCACGATGGAGCTCAGCACAGCCGAGTCTATGGAGGAGGGATTCTGTGCTGGGGGCTTCCCGCATTGCCAGTGACGGAGCAGGACACGTGGTGGATGGAGCTTTGTTGGGATCATAGGCGTGGGATGGTGCCCTGCGTTCAGCAGTAGCGGTCACTTTTCTCCTTGATAGCTGGTACAGACTTTCGGCCTGGGAACAGTGCTGATAACACCGGTGTTTTAGTCACCGCTCAAATGTTTGGTCTGACCGAGGACTTTGTGAGCCTCCTGCGCTGCCAGGGAGGAGGGGAAGCCGGGAGGAAGCAGGGACAGGACACCTGACCCAAACTGACCATAGGGGTATTCCATAGCACAGCACGTCATGAACAGGATGTAACTGGGAGTTAGCCGGAAGGGCTGGGGCACTGCGGGGTTGTACAGGTATGGGTTGGTGCTCAGTCAGGCGGGGTGGGGGGCGAGTTATCGTTTGGCAGGTGGTGAGGTGATGTATTCTCTTCCCTTGTTATCTCCTTCATCATTGTTATTGGTGGCAGCAGCAGTGATTTGTGTTATACCTTAGTGACTAAACTGTTCTGATCCCAACCCAGGGGAGTTGCATTCTTTTGATTCTCCTCTCCATCCCTCCGGGAGCTGGGGAAGGGCAAGAAGGGGGGGAGTGAGAGAGCAACTGCGTGATTTATGGCTGACTGGGTTTAAACCAGCACAGGAGGCAAGGGTGAAAGTGCCCACTGATCCCAGAGGAGGGGGGGAGTTGGAGCTAATGGGGTGATTGAGGCTAATGAGGAGGTGAGAGGGCTCCACTGAAGCCTCCACAGCGGCTCCAGCTGCCCTTAGGGATGAGGAAGAGCACGATGGAGCTCAGCACAGCCGAGTCTATGGAGGAGGGATTCTTATCTTGGTTAAAGACAGAGCCAAGCATTATGAAGTCTTGGACCTTAAAGCTCTTCCAATCACAGTCCCCTCCACGGGCAGGGACCCCTTCCACTGGAGCAGCTTGCTCCAAGCCCCTGTGTCCTTGAACACTGCCAGGGATGGGGCAGCCACAGCTTCTCTGGGCACCCTGTGCCAGCGCCTCAGCACCCTCACGGGGAAGAGCTTCCTTAAATCCCGTCTAAATCTCCCCTCTCGCAGTCTGACCCCATCACCCCTTGTCCCATCGCTCCAGTCCCTGCTGCAGGTCCCTCCCAGCATCCTTGCAGCCCCCTTCAGCCTCTGAGCTCTCCTCGCGGCTTCTCCAGCCCCGATGTTCTCAGTCTGGCTCCTGTGGGAGCTGCTCCAGACCCTGCTCCGGAGGCCGTGGACGGGACACGAGGTCTACCCACAGAGCGGGTACGAGTTAACCGCGCAAGGAGCAGCAGCACCCACAGCACACGGAGAGCGCTGCGAACCCCCCGTTGCCCCACGGTTTCGCTCTGTCTTTAACTAGCACAAGGTCCCCCGCAGGGGTGCACCGAACCCGGAGGCGCTGCAATACCGGGACGATGCGCGGAGCGGATGGAGCAAGCTCCGGGTCCGACTCCCACGGCCAAAAATCCGTTTAATATAAAGTCCTCTCATCGAGGACGTATCAGATATTAAACTGATAAGAACAGATACTACACTTGATCTTAGCCAAAAGGCCGAGAAGCGATACCTCCACCTCCTCTCACCACAAGCCCCAACGGCGGCCGCTCCGCCCCACATCACGGCCACCCCGCTCCGCGCTCCCTCCGTTTCCCGCTCCGTTTCCCCCCGCTGCTCCCGCACCGCTCGTCCCGGCTCCGTGGGCACCGACAACCCCCGAGCTCCAGGAACCCTTCCCAAGCGGAGTCTCCCGGCGTCCCCTTCCCGCTTTGTGCTGTCAATTAGCATAGCCACGCCCACACCCGTCTCTATTTTAATGTCACATTTGCATGCCACGCCCCCGCCCTTTGCCATCGCGCCCCGTTTCCTAGATGTCTCCGTTCCCCCCCCCCAAATCCTCCCCCCGCGACCTCTACGGGACACGGCTGCAAAACAAATCTTTTACTGCAGCAAACCCACATCAGGGTGAAGAAACCTCCCCTTGGTCCCCCCCATCCTGGGGGCCTGAACCCCCCCGCAGCCCCCGGCCCAGGCGCCTCCGCACCGCGGCGGGGAGAAAACCCTGCAGAAAGTGGAAAAAGTCCCGAAACAGAGCCCCGGGGGGGGGAGCTGGGGAGGGGAGCAGGCGCAGCAGCACCCACCTGGTGCCCCTCACCCTCGCGCTGGCCTCAAAGCAAAGCAGCGGCTCTGCCGGGCGCCCGGTGCCCTCCCGCTGCACGATGGCTTCTGACACCCTTTGCTCCAGGTCCAGCTCATCGCCCTCCGGGCCATCGCTGTGCTGCAGCTACCGGCGCACGCGGCATCGGCCCGTCCACACCCGGTGCCACGCGGTGCCGTTGGGTGCCTCGGGAGCACGACGCTTGCAGCCCAATGCCAGCAGCTCCTCCGCTGTGTCCGGGCCCATTGGCGGCTCCTCAGGCAGCTCCGAGTCCCCCGAGAGCCCCAACTCCTCGCCGGGAGCTCCCGGTGCCTTCCCTGCGGTGCAGCTGCACTTGAGAACGTCCCTCAACACGAAGCCGATGGCGGCACAGACCTCCCAGAACCGTGGGCCGCGGCCACGGGGCTCCCGGCCGAGCTGCTCGGAGCCTCCAGTGGAGCCCAAGGGAATGTTGATGAGGAAAGCACCGGCGTTCCCTGCTCCCGGCTCCACTGGGAAGAGCCGTGTGAGCCCCCAGGCCCGGCCCTTGCTGGCTTCCTGCCGGTACCGCAGGACTTGGTGGCGTCGCGGCAGCAGCGCCCAGAGCGCGACGCTGTTTTCTCGTTGACGTTGGCTGCCACGTTGTGGCTCAGCTCAAAGGGGTCCTGCAGGTTGAAGGGGGCCCAGCTCCAGCCCCTCGCTGGCCTCGGGGATGCGGCTGGGAG